TGGTGGTATGTAGTGCTGGCCTATGGAATTGCCATAATCCATATTTTGGGCTGCTTGCCACTTAGTTAATAGGATAATAAAAATGGAAGAATTACAATCTAGACTCAGAGGTGTGATGGAAGCAAATGAGCTCTGGTTCAGCCTGTTTTCCTGTTCACCCTACTAAGCAGCCACTTAATAGCTGACTAGGAAGCAGGATACTTCTACATAAAACTTAATGTTGTAGGCTATATATAGGTGCTTTTTTTTTAAAGAAAGAGTATGCTTGCTTATTCAATACTGTTGTTGATTCTGCAGAAGAGCTTAAGTCTGGCTGGCAGGTTTTCTCCAGCAGTCAGCATGTATGTCATGTTGAGATGCACCCTGACAGCAGGGCCTTGGCAGGGGCTGACAGCACCTCCTGCCTGCAGCTAAGTGGGGGCTGCATCTTGCTGATGGCTGCCGCTATTTTGCTGATATTGGGTTATCATCAGGTACTTCTAGAGGAGGAAAGCAAGTTGGAGATGGGGAGTTGAAGTTAAAATGCACGTTGAACAGTGTAGGTGAGAAGGAAGGTTTGTGTTAAATCCAAACTTAAACATTTCTGTGGTTTTTGCTTCTTGCTGGTTTAGGACAGCATGTCTAGCCATAAGAACTTGCAGACTGTCTGAAAGTGGTCACCTTGCAGCATTCAAAGTTTTGGAGTCCGCAGCAAGAGTGGCAGGAGAACTTGCATATCACACCCACAAAATTCTTAGTTCTAATAATAATAAAAAATCCCAAACCCACCAAAACCAGCACAAAACCCTCTTTCCAAACCCTTTATCCACTGGCTCTTCTAGATGACATCTCTAAAGTTGCCTGTTTCCAGTTGAGCTAAAGTCCTCCCAAGTACTAGTGTTGAAGCAAGAGGGAGGGCCTGTGCCATGGATTCCTGCTTCATGCCTGGGCTTCCCATAAAAATGTGCCCTTTGAAAGTAGAAGTCCAGTGATTGTCAGTAAGTATGAGTCAACTGTGCAGGGACTTTGATCTCCAAAGCACACATCTCCTATGGAAACCAGGGAACATTGCTCTCTGCCACACCTGTAGGGGCATTTGCAGAGGTTAACATAAGCACTGTGGCATGAATACAGCAAGTTATACAGATGACTGTGCTTTCTCCAAGAAGGGTTACATTAAAGCTGTCTGCAATGATGCTATAAAGAGTTGGTTCAGCCCTGCTAAATGATCTTGGCAGATGAGATCCAGCAGCTTGCTTCCTCCAAGCCCCAGGAAGGCCGGGACCAGTGGCTGTCTCCTGCATGGAGAGGGCTCCTTTAATCTACGGAAACGTGGCTGGTGCTATGGAGTAAACACGCTCTCACAGCTGAGGGCAGGCAATTTGTTTCTGTCCACCTAACTCATTGAAGCTGAAAGCCAAATGCAGCTGGGCTGGTGGAGATGAATTGTCAAGGGGCTGGGCTGTTTGGTTCAGAAGCACTGACAAGAGTGTGCATCTCTATGCTGTAAATTTACTGTGAGCTTCAGTGGAGCACTTGAGAATCATGACTTTAAAGGTTCTGTAAAGCATTGACTGTGTGAGTAATAAGTATGGCTAAAAGTAATTTTTGTTGTAGGGAAGTAGTAGTGAAAGTCTGCTGTTTATGTAATCTGTTTTCCAGCCTGAGATGGCCAGAAAGTGTCTTGAAGCAGACCAGGGAGTGGAGGGAATTCAGTGGCAAGCCAGCTGAGCTGGGATACAAGCAGGGCCTGCAGTAATGATTGTTGGTTCTTAAGTGTCATTGGAATATATTATTTTTTCCACTGTCCCTACACCTTGGCAGTATTACACTTACAGTGTGCAGTCAGAACTGGTGGGGGATGCTTGTAAATTTGGTTGTACTAATTGTTCAGAGGGCCAGCTCTGTGCTCCCTGTACAGGACCTGAAAGGATGCATGTATTCCTGGTTGCCACTTTCATCTTAAAGCCCAAGATGCACTGAGTGTTTTTAGTCAATTAATGAAAAAGGCAGCACTAAAGCAGAGGCTCTTCTGGTGAGGCTGAGTGCTCAGCTGGAGCTGAGCTTTACAGCAGTGCATGGAAGCTAAGCCTGCTTTGAGCTGGACTTTGGTCTTTTCTTGAATGTGGAGGGTTCTTTTATATAGTGATAGAGATTGTAAGCCAGTGCTGGGAGTGGGGTGCCTGTGAGAAGGGCCTGTGGGCACTCTGCTGGGTCCTGATAAGGTCTGTCCTGCCCAGTTCTTCTCCCTGCCTACTTCCCACCCCAAATAAAAGCAGACAAGCCCTCCTCCTTAGCTTGGAAAAAATGACATCATGAGATCCCTATGCCTGTCAGGAAGCTGGGAGGCTGTGAGGGCTTGCTAACTTGCTAACGAAGTGCAGTCGTGGCAGTGGCACCAACCCCAGAGAGGAAGAGCTGTCCTGTTCCTGTGGTGACCTTTTCCTGTCATCAGAGCAGCAGCCCTGTGCCCAGCCTTTCTGGATGAGGCTGGTGAGATGGGATAGTCTTGCTCTTGCTGGGAAGCCTGTACAGGCTGGTTTTCCCCAGGTCAAGAACCACAGCCCAGCTGTGCCTTTAGAGAGGGCAGCGGGGTGCTGGGGGCAGCTCTGAAGATGCAGCTGGTTGCTGCAGTAACCACAGTGCAACCACATATAGACATTATTTATGTGCTATAAATATAAAATGAGCTATTCTTTATCTTGAGTAATATGTCTGTAGCATCATACTCAAGGTGATTCTGTCCTGCTGGCATTCCTCCCTGGAAATGCTGCATAGTTTTCTGAAATGAGCTTGCTTGTAGCATACTAAATCATTGCTATGTCCCTCTAGTAAAAATGCCGATGTGGATATAAATCTGAAACTGAAGCTTGGAGGCATTTCTGGAGCAGAGGTGGGCTGGCCAGTGGTGTGCTCCAGCACCAAGTGTGACCTGGTAGTTGTGCCATGGAGTGGGAGGAAGGAGCTGCTGGCACAGGGGCAGGGAGGGCACTGACCTGTTTGTAGCTCAGCTGGAAAGAGGACAGGAAAGAGTAACAGTAGGGTCTGTTTAGTTGTTGCTAGGAGACCCACTGTTTATGTGATGTAGACTTTTACCTTGGAACCTGTAATTAAAACCCAGTAGGGCTTAATCACCCCATAGCTATCTATTGTGTATCTTGGACTGGATGTGTAATCAGTGAGCAGTCAAGTGGCAGACGCATATCGTAATCCTGTAAGATTAGTCAAAACTGATGTTAAAAAATCTCATGCAAATAAATCTGAGTAGAAACCAGACACTAACTACCCAGAAAGTCCAAATGCCTTTCAAGGTCTTAAGTTACAGCATTATCTGTTTAGGACATACTGCTCTATTGTGAAACCATGTAAATATTAACTGCTTTGCCTGAGCGTTGGGTTAAAGGGTGATTGCTATTCTTGATCACTATTCTGTATAAACACTTGTTTGAAAAGTTAGATCTTTTTGCATTGATGAGATGGTGCTGGGTTGCTGCTGTGGTCTCTACTGCTGAAGAGGAGTAGGTAAGGCACGCCCAGTGAGTGTTGGGCACAAGGAGGGTCATCTTGGAGGACTTGCCTGATAACATTCTGGATGTGAACTGGAGAATGCAATCCAGTTACAGAACACTTTTGCTTTGCTGGCTAGGACTCTGTAAGATTTCTGTACAATAATTCTGGTGGCATGAAAGAGATTTTATACACCTGTAATTGTCTTTACTCCTGCATATGCTGCAGGAGCTGGAGAGTAGACAGAAGTTTCCAGGTTACTTGTAACTTCTGTTGACTGAAAAGGGATTTCTCTAACAGCTTGCACTTGAAATGGAAGAAAGAACCAAAAGATGCTGTGCTGTAACATTCTGCTGAGAATAAGAGGAATTGTCAGCTGAGAGCATCCTGGAACATTGCAGAAGTGCTCTGATTTGTGTGAGCTTGAAAAACTGGAGCTGTTAGCAGTGTAATATAGCCTGAGTAACAACTACAAGCTCAAAGGGAGGGAGGTGTGAGAAACGAGGCCCACGCCTCAAAAATTTCAAGAGTTTAATAAGGGACAAATCAATAAAGCAAAAGTAACAGCGCTGATTGTAACAAAGGCATCCAGTGTGTGACTCATTAAAGCTGAAGTAACTTGCATGTGAATTCACAGAACATAGCGGTCACTTTACAAGGCCAAACCAATGCAGAAAGGCATCCTGCCTCTGCAGACTTTGCTTTTGAAAATCTGATCTTGATATCCAGCAGCCTTAAATTTAGCTCCATAGTGTGTTTTAAAGCAGAACAGCAGCATGGTCACTTGGGTGATAAATTTTTCTTAAGCTGGAGCATCATATAGAAAAGCCAAAGCTGGCTCTTTTCTGTAGCTCTGAATTTGCAGAGTGAAGGGATGATGTCAAAGGATTGTCCAGGGACTTCACTGCCCACCTTGCTGATCGTACACAGGTCTTGATATGTCCAATACAGACCGATTCCAAACTCTGTATTTGCTTGTCTTCACTACAGAGCAGCACTTCATTTTATTCCCTACCATTTAAAAGGCAAATTATTGATGTGTGTGGGAGACATGTTTCTGTATATAAATGGTGTTTCCTAAATGATGCTTTTATCTATGCCCTGGAGTGTATCATGCCTATTGGGATGCTGGTTTTGTGACCTCCATCACATGCTGTTTGGCCTTTTTCATAAGATACAAATGCCATTACAAAATATGCGGTGATACTTATCCAAATCATGGTACTAGAGGTCTTAAACTGCCACTTCTCCTGCTGAAGGAGCAAGTGACAAATCATAAAGCTGAAGAGCAAGTGACAACTGGAGAGCACTGAGTCCTTTGACTCCTCTCTTTTTGCCCTTTCTAATGCTTCCTGTGAGGAAGGGCGTCGCTACCTGAACAAATGCCTGCAAGTGCCCTGGGTCAGTTTTCTTGTCCTTGATTACCTGCATGAGTGCAGGGGCACACTGTTTTAAAAACACACCTCTTTTCTCTAGAATGGCAGGTGATCAGTTGTATGTATTTTGTCTTCCAGATAGCAAAGCCATAGTTGATGGAAACCTGAAGCTGATCCTTGGCCTGATATGGACCCTTATCCTTCACTACTCCATTTCTATGCCAGTGTGGGAGGATGAAGGTGATGATGATGCAAAGAAGCAGACTCCTAAGCAGAGGCTGCTGGGCTGGATCCAGAACAAAATTCCCTACTTGCCAATCACAAACTTCAATCAGAACTGGCAGGATGGCAAAGCACTGGGTGCTCTTGTTGACAGCTGTGCTCCAGGTAAGTCCTTTGTTCTGATGGCCAGTGTTTTCCTTGCTTGTTGTCTTTTTGGCTGCTCTTCCTATGGGAGGAGGTTTTCACTGCTGAGCTTTAGACTGGAATGAGGCTTTCAGAAAACCAAAAGAGTCCAAAGAGACCAGCTGCAGGAAGCAGCAAGTTGTAAAGTTCTTGGCCAAGAGAAATTCTGACCTGTAGCAGAATGTGTGATTGCATTATGGGAGGCGCCACATCTAAGCTTTGTATTGGGTGCAAGGGACAAGAGCACAAATGCTGGCTCCTAAATGGAAGAAAGGATTGTTCCCACGGCAAGTGCCAACAACCTTTCAGCGTCAGGGTGCAGTGGGAGACTTCATGTCTTCTCCTGAAGTAGGTTTGCAGAGGGAGCACAGAGCTCCCTAATTGAACACACTAATTGAAACGTCAGTTTAGCAATCTGAGACTGAGCTGCTTAAGGCAAATAATTTGAAGTAGTGTGAAAAAGGCAGAATTTCCTCACTTTAATAAAACAGCCTTGCTAGTGGGATTGCAGGTGCTCATCTAATGCAATCTAGGCTGAAGTGTTCTTTACCAAATATGCTGCAAGAGAACTAGTGAAGCATAAAGGATGGTAGATGTATTTGTTCTAAATTTAGAGTGGTTTCTTGCACAAGTTACCCAGAGAGATGGTAGATGTCCCATCCTAGAAAACATTCAAGGTCAGGTTGCACAGAGCTCTGTTGAAGATCTCACTGCTCATTGCAGGGGTGGTCTAGATAACCTTTAAAGATTCTTTCCAGCCTAAACCATTCTATGACTCTGCACTGATTATTGCCTTAGAGTTGTTTCACTAAGCAGCACGTGCTTGTCTTGTTTTGGCTACTTCTGCAAAGCTCTGATTGTCTTTCTGCAGAGCAGTGTAATGCAAGGGGATCTAGAGTTCATACTTGATTTCTTCAGCTAGAGAAGCCCCTTGGCAGATAACACACAACAACTGAAATGTGCTTGCAGGCTTGTGCCCTGACTGGGAGAGCTGGGACCCGAGGAGGCCCGTGGACAACGCTCGGGAAGCCATGCAGCAGGCGGATGACTGGCTGGGTGTGCCTCAGGTAAGGCCGCCAACCTTGGGCTGCCCGTGGGGGCACAGGGACCAGCTTTGGTCTCGTGACTAGCTGGAGTTGAAATTGAAGAAAGCAGGTGAAGCTGCTTGAATGCTTTCAAAAGTTACTCTTAACTCATGTAGAGTTGCCTGAGAAAGGGTGCACTGTAATGAAATACACCATTACATTTCAGAGCTCTGGTTGTATTTGTGTAGGTGTCTCTGCTGAAGAAAGCTGCTGTTGCAGCACGTAAGGTAGGAGGTAAGGGCCTATGTGGTGGTGTCTGACATCTTAGTCCATGGAGTGAATTTGTTTTCCTGCATTGAATTCCACAGAAGAAAAACTTACTGGCTTAGGAAATCACCTGCAATGATAATGTTCAAACAGAGAGCAATGTATTTACAAACTGGATTATTTTCATGCTGATAAAGTTGGACAGAATTCCAGAAGTCTCTGAAGCAGCTTGTATTGTGGAAGCAGGAGTCACAAGTTTTACTTTGCAAGCCTTGCAGTTCAGAGCTGTTGCATACAGGATTATGAATTACTCACTTTTTCAGTATCAATTATCCCCATGTCACTTTCCAAGGGGAACATAACTGCTGTTGTCTTGCCTTGGTACCATTAAGCTTGTTGCAGTCTCCTGAGAACCCCTAGTAATCAAAGCAGAAAAAGCCCCCAAACCACACTGGGATAATTATGAGCTTCTTGATTTTCTTGTCTGAGATAATAAATGATGTTGTGTGTATCAAAGGGAAAATAAGTGTAAGAAATCCCATTAGCATGTGGGAGTTTTGAAATCTAAGTCTGTGTCATAGTTCTGTTTCTGTGTTGACCTGCGGTAACCAAGCACTGGTACAATATGCTTAATTGCACTGTCTTTCAGGTTATTACCCCTGAAGAAATTATCCACCCTGATGTGGATGAGCACTCTGTGATGACTTACCTGTCCCAGTTCCCCAAAGCCAAACTGAAACCAGGAGCTCCTTTAAAACCTAAACTGAATCCAAAGAAAGCAAGGGCTTACGGCAAAGGTGAGGACTTGGTGAGCTGAAGCTGCACAGAGCAGTAACTCTTCAGAAAGCTGGGTGGGGTTTTCTGCTTATGTTGAACTTCAGACCTACTGTAACTAACTGACTTCAAAGTTTCACTTGTATACTCTTGGTGTGGTGCCTGGTTTCAGAAATACATGGATATAGTCCAGAAGGCACTCCTAGTTCTAACATGTAAATTTCCCAGTCTGAACCTGTTCTGCAAGCTGCCAGACTCCCATCCACAGCTGGAAGAAGTAGCATGATATGGGGCTAAAACTACCTTGGTGTGGAATTCAGGCCAACAGTATTGCTGCAGATGGGTGATGATCTGGCAGTGACTGCTTCTTGTGATAAAGCACTCCTTAAAAGAAGAAAAACCTCATCACCTCACTGTCTCTCTGGCAGGCTCTCTGTAGAGACAGTTTACCATTTCCCAGGCTTGATGTGTGTTAGAGTGGGGTAATTCTAAATTACTTACTTGAATCGATAGTGTTGAATACTTTGCACATGTACAAAGATGGGTTGGTAACCCTTGAGACATTAAATAGTGCTGAGCCTTGTTAGCAAGGCTGTATTTACTGATTGGAAGGACTGAAGGCTGAATTTGCTGATTATCCATAGATGCTTAAGCAAGTGTAGATCTCTGTAGGCATTCTTATTTTTAACTGACCTTTTAAATTGATAATTTCATATAACTATTGATGAGGGTCTGTTCTAGATGGGTGCACAGTCACAACTGAATAAGTAACAAATTTTTACCTTTAATATGGTTGGCATGTTGGAAAGCATCTCTTCAGCATTACACTTGGCTCTCCATTCTGCCTTAATTTTTTTTTTTTTTTTTTTTTTTTACATCTCTGGGCTGCTGTTTGTCCTTCAAGACTGTTGGAATGAGTGTGTTTCAGAGTTGGATATACAAAAGTGAAATGGAAAGAAAAAAAACTTTCCTTATTTTTTTTTCTGGTTCTCTCATTTGCCTGGATTTTTTAAACTTGATTTTCCATTGAAACATAACTAGTGGAATGAAGGGACATGGACTTTATTTATGCACTTAAGAGAGTTGCTACAGTCAGAGTGGGTTTAGCACCTATCCAGCTTGGGGTTGATGTTCTTTGTTGGTGCCTTCCACAGCAAACCACAATACACAGACACATTTTTCAGGTCCCAAATGTGTAAATGACTGATCAGCCTGCCTCAGTCTGTCAAGTCTGGCTTTAGTCATGTTTATATTCATTCAAAAAATGAAATTACTTTGTCTGCTTTCATGTGTCTCTGGAGCCTTTGTAATGAAAATTACTTTAGAGTGAGTGGCTCTTCTTGAAAGATTGATGCTTTCATTAAGTTAATTGCCAAAACAGAGTCACTAAATATACTAATTGATAATTTTGACTGCTATGATATGTCAGAAATGGAAGGTGACTCCAGCAGCAAGGGGCTCAGTCTTTGACTGAGCAGGGTCTTTTGGACAGGTGAGAAACAGGTTTTCATGCATCTAGGAAAAGATAACTGCCAAGTGCAAAGTGGGTCAGTCTTAGCTCTTTTTATTATCCTTTTTCATGTAAGCTGTTCGTAAGCTCCCAGCAAGAGTCTTGGCTGTAGCACACCACCCTGAGCACCGTGAGGGTTTGTGCTGAGGACAGCCATGGGTAGAGCTGGTGTGAAATGAGCCTGCAGAGGGGATGTACAGGGTTGTGTAGGTCATCAGTGGTTCTAGGAGTTCTCATTTAACCACCCAAAGCAGGCCACTGATAAGATAGTGAAATCTAGACAAATGAAGTCTAGGCTAAGAAGGTTCTGCAACTAATGGTGTCCTGGCTGACATGGTCTTCAGAGGAGGATAATGAGTCCTTCTTGTGCTTGCAGAAGGCATGATAGTTAACTTGAATGCCATATCCTAGTGCTTGTCTGATGGACCTGAGAGACACACAGCAAATTCGCAGCAGTTTCAGCTAGATGATAATCTAGGGCTTAGTTTGAAAGAATGAATATGTCAATTGTTAACACCTTATCAGAATGCTCAGATTTCCTAGCAAAAACATGGTCTTCCTTGCATTACTCTCAAGTTACTGTTTTCTGAAGATAAACAAGTTCAGGAATTCTGTTGTTCACAACCACTTCCTTTACAATCTATCAGACGTTGCACTTTCCACTAATTGTGCTGTGGAGCTGGAGTGCCCATGGTTTTATGAATCAGCCAGGGAGAAATTGCCTTGGACGGAAGGGTATGGATGTGTTTGGGCTAGTCTGGAATCAGCAACTTTGGGAAGTTCTTCCACCCACTCAGTCTGACACCACCATGACAGATGTCATGACCTGGGACTGTGTACAGGGAGATGATGAAAGCCTGCTGGTAAATGCATGCTGTAGCAGGCCCTGTGCTGGGGAATAAGGAAATTGATTAAAAGTTAAGTGGAAACCACAAGAAGTAGCAAGATTTTTACTGTTTTAAGAGGTTCCTGCATGCCATTTGTACAGTGTACATTGGCCAGGTAGTCTGAGCAGATTTCAAAGGACAGTAAATCTGAGCAGTATCTGTACTGCTGGATTTTGAAAATGGAGGAAGATGGGGCAGTACAGGTAAAAATTGTCTTGCTTTAAGCAAGTCTTTTACTTTTGGCTCTAGAGTAATGGCTTCACCTAAAGGCTTCCCAGAATTTCTCTCCTGCCTCTCTAGTCACCCCTCCCATGGTGCAAGACCTGTGTGAAGAGAGCAGCTCCTGAAGAGCAGCTAATGCTCATATCCCACTTGCTGTCAGCATCAGCCCTACACTTGGCAGCAGTGGGAGTGACCCTCAGTGCCTCTCAGGATAACTGGTTTTCACCTGAATCCACACAACAGCTGGGTTCCTGACTTGGTTAGACATTGTAAGATGAGTTGAGTGCTGATGATTCAACCAATTTTTGAAAAGACTCGTACTATAAGAGAAGGCCTTACTGTGAACATCATGCTGTGGGCAGAGGGTAAACACATGATGTGCAGAAGTCTGGGGAAACTGATTCCGATGGCTTGCAAGGGAGAATGGGTTGGACAGCCTTTGGGCAGCCTCCAAACTGTCTTCCAGGTTTTGTGGCAGCAGCTAATGTGCTGTTCTGTATCTGTGTCACAGGGATTGAGCCTCATGGGAACATGGTGAAGCAGCCTGCCATCTTCACAGTGGACACCATCAGTGCTGGGCAGGGTGACCTGATGGTCTTCATAGAAGATCCAGAAGGAAACAGAGAGGAGGTATGTATGTTAAGTGTCTTGTATGGAAAAGTCAGATTGGTCTGAACGCTGTAGTTTCTGCGGTAACCTTCATCTTTCACAAGTGAGTTCTTGACAAATAAGTAATCTAAAAAGAAATTGCAAAATACAGTTTATCTGAAGTGCAAGAAGCCTCAACTTTTCTTCATAATTGCCTTGAAAAACAGTCACTACCTGCAACTAAGCAACACAGCTCCAGTGTCCAGTAGTTGCAGAGCTTTAGCTTGACTGGCCAAGTACACTCTGACCTGCTTTTAGATAACATACATCAGTAAATCACTGTCTGCATTTACTCATTCTGCAAGAATGGCTAAAGCAGCTATTTAGATGCCATGAATCATTTTGAGTTAAAATGCTGGTTTTAATGTTTATAGAAACTTCTCATCCAAGTGTTCCACTTGATCATGTTACAGCATTCCAGAGAAATACAGCTGTACATTGGACTTACTGTCTCCTCACTCTTGGCCTGCCTCAATACAGCAATTAACAGCAAAGGAAAGGGCTGGCTTGGGAAGATGGTAGCTTGCTTCCCCTCTTGTAAAGACAAAACCAATGGGATTTTTTCCATGTGAGAAGAGGGGGATAGCAGGGATCCCTGCTTTCACAGCAACAAGAATCTAACAGTGCTGACTCTGGAAATAGATGGCAGTATCAGTAAAAAGTTCAGCTGGTATGTGTAGGCACAGCTTGATGAGGGATGTGTTTTCTCTCCTAGGCGAAGATAACACCGTCCAGTGACAAAAACAAAACCTACTCAGTACAGTATGTTCCAAGGGTGACAGGACCTCACAAGGTGAGTTTTGTGTCAATAACCAGAATTCTCTTGCTAGACACACTGCTCTGCTGGTTGTTAACATGAGCCCCTGAGGGCTCCCTGTTCACTGATGGGTAAGAGCCAGCTAAGGCATCCTGAAGAAAAGTTAAATTGATGTGGCCTTCATTCTCCATCTGGCTTTTGGGCTACTCCCTTTGCAAGGGGAAAGAAGTGTATGTTGGGAGAAAGTGCATTTGTGTTTGGGTATCAAGTGCCACAGCTGGACCACTTTGTGCAACTCACAAAGCCAGTTCTGTGGGTTGTCACAAGAAATGCAGGTGAAAACAGCAGGTTGTTTCTGTGAAGTATCTCTTTGCTGATGGTACTGTACACTGTAGGGATTTTGCAGAGAAAGATTCCCTCCCTTTGTCCCTGGATGCCCATAGTCACAGGTTTATGATGGGTGATCCTGTAGGGTGGCTGGTCCCCACAGCCAGCCTGAAAAAATAAAATGCAAGTTCTGCTGCCACTTTATTGCTGGATGAAGATGTACCTTATATTAGCACATCCTGATTCAAGCTTCCATGCTGGTGTGCCTGACTCTAATCAATGGAACTTTAAGAAGGTGGCAGCAGTTAGCATGGATCTGATGAGGGTTGTGGGACAGATGGTCCCTCACCTCTGAGGGAAAGAGTCTTTGTGTTAGGAATGCAGGTGCTTGACCCTGCACTTAGCTTTATGGTGGTGATCTGAGCTCTCCCTCTGCCTGATGGGTCCAAGCTGATGCTGTCTGTCCCTAGGTTTCAGTCCTGTTTGCTGGGCAGCACATCTCGAAGAGCCCATTTGAAGTGAATGTTGACAAAGCCCAGGGAGATGCAAGCAAAGTGACAGCAAAAGGACCAGGACTGGAGGCAGCAGGGAACATTGCCAATAAACCTACTTACTTTGACCTCTATACAGCAGGTAAGCAGGATGAGTGATGATGGAAGTCCTGCAGTGTCCTCAAATGTGAGAACCTAAGGCCTTGGAAAAATAGCTGTAAAGTGGATGAGGAGTTGTAGCCCCATCAAACTCACAGGTGAAATAATAGCTGGGCTGCTCAGAAGGCTTCAGCTGTGTGTGAAATATTTGAAGTGCAGAGCTGAGCTGGGGCAAGAGGCTGCTAATCCTGACCCAGAAATTTGCCATGAATTTGCTGGATGGCAGCAGTCAAGTTCCTGGCTGGTTTCTTTCCCCAGCTCATTTTGAAGAAGAATATGACATGTTGAACATAAATGTGAAAGATAAACTGTGAGCCAACTGTAAATGTGTAGTGGATTCTATATTTAGCTCTACAGAACCTGCTGCAGTGCTACTTTGAGTTCATACTTCAATGATGAACTGGTTTCAACCTCTATTGTAATTATTAGAGGGTTACTATCTTCATTAGGGCATCTCCATCAATTATTTGTTACCTGCTATTAGGCCAATGCTGTAGCCTAGAGGAATGAGTCAATAAGATGCTACAAATGTTAATTCGTTTAGAACAATGTGAAACTACTTAGGGCAGTTACTTGTAGCATTTAAACACCAAAATATGCTGAGTAGTATATTTGAAATTGCCTTCTGCCTGAGGGAGCTTAGAAATAAAATTAAATGTGGTTATAGTGAGGCAAGTATTATGTTCAGCCTCTAATTGGGAGAGGGAGTGGTCTGAATCATGTAAAGACATGTCTGGCCTCTGAAAGTGTATAGAAAACTCTTTCTGTTGTATGATGAGTTGAATAAGATGTGAGAGGAGCAGGTGTCTGAACAAAAGTGAATACATATAGTCCAGCAGGGAGAATCCCTGTCAGACCAGCATTCATTTGTCTCCAATCTCTTAATCTAAACCACTTCAAAACTTGAGAGATTGAACTGACTGGTAAAGCTGTGGGCTGATCTGTGATAGAGATGCTACAGGGTGGTGTCCATAGGGTGACCAGGCTGTATGTATATTCAGTGCTATGTTGTGAAACCCTGTGGCTAGAGCAGCAGAGCCCTGTCAGTTTGACTCTGTGGAATGCCACCATGCTGTCTTGCCCACTTTCTGCTCAAATGTTTGATTGCTGTCAGCAAAAGCTGAACACAGAGGCTGTGCTTAGAATTGGCAGCAGAGGATGTCTGGCTGAGCCCAGACAGCTGGTGGTGGTCTGAAACAGGGTGCCTGTTGCTGGTGGGGAAGCCAAGGCTCAGCTGGGCTTGTTTCCTTTGCAGGTGCTGGTGTGGGTGACGTGATTGTGGAAGTGGAGGATCCTCAGGGAAGAAGCCTTGCTGAAGTTGTAGTGGAAGACAAAGGCAACCAGGTCTACCGTTGCACCTATAAACCTGTTCAAGCTGGTCCTCACATTGTCAAAGTGACTTTTGCTGGGGAGGCAATTCCCAAAACTCCTTGCACTGTTCTCATTGGAGAGGGTATGTTTTTTAAAAATGCATATAAATGTAGATGGGCACTTTTCTCCATGGATGTGGTCACACAATATGCTTGGATCATGCCTTTTATATTCTCTGTACCTTTCAACGTCTTGGTCCTGTTTCAGTGGGTCACCTGAGTACTCTCAGAGTAAACTAGTGCTCTCTAACAGTAATATGGCTTTTGTTGCTAGTTTCCTTTCTGCCTAGACTTACAAATGTTGAGCTACCCTTTGAATTTTTTTGAGTTATTTATCCAGCTATGCAGTGTCTTGCTGTTTTCTACCCTTGTTCCTCAAATGCCTATATTTACTGTTTTCCTTCTTAACGGACACCGAATTTGCTTTCTGTTCCATCCTTACCTGCTCCTATGCTTTTAGATCTCTGCTCATCTCTCCTGAGCTACCCTCCATTTGTGGAATTTTGGACTTCACTGCTAATGGCTTCATAGTTGGTAAGAGGTGTGCAGGATGCTCCGTCGTGTTTGCTCTTTGTAAGCTTCTAGCCTGCAGCTTGTCCCAGCCAAAAGGATTTTTGGTTTTGTTGGGGTTGGGGAGGAAAGTTGCAAACGAACTGAAGCTTTGTGTGACCCAGTCAGTGAAACTGGCTTAACCACAGGCTGCCTGACGCAGCTGTGTGAGTGCTCTGCAAGCTGTTCCCACTCCACGTCAGCCACGCTCCTGTGTGTTCCACTGAGCTTTCAGAGCTGGCAGCTGCCACACAATCCCCACTCACACCGGCCGGTGTAGGACACAGGGTGATGTTGGCTCCTGCAGGGGTGGGGGGAAAACCTATAAGCTGTTGTATAATGAGTGAAAACCTAACAAGCTGCTTGGCAGACTTGTGCTCCTGCTGTAAGCACGGCATGCTTGAGGAAAATGCGTGTTTGGTTTACAGTGCTGGGAAGCTGTGGTTGTTTGTAAGTCTCTTCAAACCTCTCAGGTCTTTGGCGTTGAAAACCTCATGACAGCTGGGATTGTGTAATGAAAACTATTCCTAAGTGTGCAGAATTTTTGTAGCCACTCTGCAGGCCCAGAAGAGTGCTTGGAGTAAAGAGGCCAAGAGAAGCCTAAGCCATGTGTAACCCTCCTGCCCCACCCTGCTTCAGGCTGCAGAGGCCTTGGTGACTTTGCTTCTGTGAAAGTGTGAACTGTGACAAGCAAGGGGGGTTTGATGTGACATCTTTTAACGAAGCACAGGCAAAACTCAGCTTTGCTAATAGCAGTTATCCCAGTCATGTGCTTCTGAAGGACCAGCAGAATAATACTGTTCACTGGGGCTTATCTGCAAAGGGACCCTTCACCCTACGCTGCAGTGGGCCTCAATGGAAAGGCGTCAGGAAGGTTGTGTCTATGGCAAATATCTCTATGTGATAGCTGTGTAAAAGTCTTGTATTGATAAGTGGCATTGAATTGGAAAGTAGAAGGGCTTCAGTGTTTGCAGTCATTCTAAAAAATGGTCTTGGACAGGGTCAGTGTTGCCTGGTGGCACTGACTGCTACTGCCTAAAAGCCAGGGGGCATAGACGGCGCTGGGCAGACTCACATCTGTCTGCCTTAGTGCTGTAACCTTCTGCTGAAAGCTAAGCTGTGGTTGCCCTGAGTCAGTGTTAAACTGAAGCTTGTCTCCCAGGCTGGCTAGGCTGGCTCTGTTGAGATCAGAGACAGTAGTAATGCCTGAAGTTCCTTTGCAGCCTGCAACCCCAGCGCGTGCCGTGCCACTGGCCGAGGCCTGCAGCCCAAGGGCGTCCGTATCAGGGAGACGGCCGACTTCAAGGTGGATACCAGAGCAGCAGGGAGCGGAGATCTTGGAGTGACTATAAAGGGACCAAGTGAGTGCTGGGGTGTATCTGTGCTGTGCATGTGTTTTGGAGAAGGGGGAGGAGCAGAGCCTGGGAAAAGGAAGAGCAGGAAGGAGATGGTGTCCTGATGGAACTGATGGGATCTGTATAAAAAGCCAGACTTCAGAATGGTTTATCTGTGTCTGTTGTGGAGGTTTTGATCTGCAGGGCTGGATAAGATTATATCTGGTTTTAGTTCTTTCCGTTTTAATGTGTCAGTTAGCAAAACTGAGAAAATCCATGCATCTGCCTGCTGTGGCCTCCAAGCTTTATGGGTACACATTGCATCTTCATGCAGTCTGTGGAAGCAAGTCACACACCATGGTCTCTGGCATGATGGAAATCCTGATCTCATAAAGCTGGGAATGGCTCAGAGCTGTATTCCTGGTGGCACTAGCTGCTTAGGCACACAAGCAGAGGAGGAAAGGACCCCATAGGCTGACAGAGACCATCTATGAGGATCCATCCCCAGGTCCCTTGGTCCTGAGCCCTGGATGTGGCCCTCTGCCTGGGAGGATGGGAGCACAGGGGCTGCTGGCCCATGTGGCCGCCAGCAGCAGTCCCTGTGTGGTACTCTGAGCCCGCCACCTCCCCCTGCCTGGAGCAGCATTCAAAGGTGCATTGTATTGCCTTCACCTCCTCCACACACACAGAGCTCTGACTGTGTGACTTCGTCAGGCTGGGGGGAAAAAAAGCAACAGACATATCAATGTAAATTTCAGCGTATTAAGCTTTTCTTCCTAAATTCTTCATCTTGAAGAAAATGAAAAGTAGGCATTCCCTGCATACTTGTGGTTACAAAGTCTGACAAATGTTAAGCTTTTTTGTTTTAACATATGACATGCATCATACTGCAGACTAAGAAAATAAAACACAAGGGAACTTATTAAGTCTGGTAACTTAAAATACTTTCTGCTGTATTTCTTCTGGAAGTGTTTGCTGTCTTTGTCCTAGAGGGCACATAGAACTAACTTCCCTTATAACCTGACCTTTTTTTTTCTGGTGGAAGAAATTTATTCTTGCAAGCTAAAATAAATACTAGAAAACATGAACTTGTCTGAGTAATTGAAAGCAGGATGGAAACTGTTAAGTTCAATGCTGAATTGATCTTTCAACAGAGGGCTTGGAGGAGTTGGTGAAACAAAAAGGCTTTATGGATGGTATATATGCATTTGAATATTATCCAGCCACACCAGGAAAGTACGTTGTCACCATTACATGGGGTGGGCAAAACATCCCAAAAAGGTGAGTCAAAAGTAGCTTTTGGGGCATTTTTATGTCCTTCAGTGGGTTGTGTAGTTGATAGGCTTTTAAAGCAACCCTGACCTTTGAAGAAGAACTGGGGAGCCAAGTTAGTGGCAAGTTGTTGTTTTAACTTTTTGTTTTTAACAGCCTGGTTTTGGGCTGCAGCAGCTTGACAAAGCTCTGAAGGGTGACTTGTGTCAGTCTTTCTAACACAAAATCATTAATAAAAAACCTAATAAAACATGGTGGATCATGCAGCTTGGACTTTGCTGTAAGATTTTGAAGGACTCTGTTTCAATGTCCACAGCTATAGCAAGCAGAGCAAGTATTTGACACTCAGGATTTGTGGTGGAAGATGGTGGTGGGTTGGATGGCATCTCTGCTAGAAAAACACTGCTGGGCCCTGTGCCACCACATGGTAGCATCTATTAATTTGGAAAATTCAATGTAGACCCTCATTAAAATGCTTGGGGAAAAACATAGGTGCTGTATTTGTCCCCATTTCTAATATCATGCTTTGTTTTTCTCTGGTAGCCCCTTTGAAGTTCAGGTGGGTCATGAAGCAGGTCCTCAGAAGGTGCGAGCCTGGGGGCCAGGACTGCACGAGGGAGTTGTGGGCAAGTCAGCTGACTTTGTGGTGGAGTCCATTGGCACAGAAGTTGGCTCTCTTGGTATGTTACTGGACTGAGTTTCCCTGAAATATTTGTATCTTGCAATGCTAGCAGTGAACTCACAAGAAACAATAGGTTTCCCAACAGTAAAAACCATGTCTGTAAGACATTGTGGTCTAAACACTAACATCTATAGAGTATCAAAGGCATGTCCTAGAGACAGGAGTGTGTGTGATGGAGAGTGTTAATCTGTGGTTTTGTGGGATGAGATCCAGAAGGGAATGATGGATGTATGATCTCCTGTACTGCTGAAGAAGGGTCACTGAGAGATCAGGCATGTTTAAGGCTAACAAAAAGCTATTTGTGGAAGTGGTGTTAAGTTAGCAGCCTCCACAAACCTAACGTGAGGAACATACTTGTTCCTTTTTCAGGCTTTGCAATAGAAGGCCCTTCTCAGGCTAAAATTGAGTGTGATGACAAGAATGATGGCTCATGTGATGTGAAGTATTGGCCCAAAGAGCCTGGTGAATATGCTGTGCACATCATGTGTGATGATGAGGACATAAAAGACAGCCCTTACATGGCCTTCATTCGCCCGGCTTCAGGAGACTTCAACGCGGATAAGGTGAGGCCCAGGAGTTCACCCATGGCACAGCATGTCTTGGATGTAACTGCAGTAGAGATATTTCTAAAGGATTCTGGTAGCAGACCCTTAAACTGCCTCTTCTTAAAGCTCTGAATTTGCCAAGATATTACCCAGCCAGATACTCCTCAGCTTTTTCAAATAACACTGTTGTGGTTTTGATTTAATGTAATGAAAACTTGCTGAAGTAGTATCACATGCTTCATGGGGTTTGTGGAGGGGGCAGGTCTTCATACATAAATCACTTAGTTTTGTTTCTCTTTCTGAACTGCAAACTAATACTCTTGAGGTGCTCTTTTAGGTGAAGGCTTATGGCCCAGGCTTGGAGAGGACTGGCTGTATAGTGAATCAGCCTGCTGAGTTCACAGTTGAAACCAAGGATGCTGGGAAAGCACCTCTGAAGATGTACGCACAGGTAAAAACCCAAAGGCAGCTGTGTGAAACTGCAGCAAAAGGACTTTAATACTGTTTAGAAAAATGCCTTAAGTATTCCTACTCACTTACACACCACTTAATTCTGGGCATGTGTAATTCAAGTCAAAGCTCTGTGCTTTGATCTGTGTAATGTAGTCAGGCAACAACTGAAGACAAAGTGACTGCTCTGAAGTATATGAAGTACATGGCTTTGCTTCCTTACTTGGAAGCAAAGCAAGGTTTAATTTCCTTGAGTTGTCATTTGGAAGCACTGAAGTGTCTCTGAGCCTGTGAATTTTCTGTGTGTTGTAGGATGGTGTATGAATGAGCAAGTGTTAGATGAGGAAGACTTGCAGGAGTGTAAATTGCATATTTCTTCAGTATTTTTGAACTGCAGTTCTGGAGAAAAAAAAATCCTGACACATTCTGGAACAGTCTTGAGCTGTTCAAACTACACAAACATTTGTGAAGTACCTGAACCTTCTGCTTGTATTACTGCTTTTTAGGATGGAGAAGGAAACCCTATTGATATCCAGATAAAGAGCAAGTCTGATGGTGTGTTTGCCTGCTCCTATGTGCCAGTTAAACCAATCAAGCATACAATTTCTGTTGTCTGGGGAGGAGCCAATGTGCCCAATAGCCCATTTAGGGTAAGTACAGAGATGAATAGTTCTTAGTTCTAGCCAAATAGGACATGGGTGCTCACAACTACTTGTTAGTACAACTAGGGTGTTAAAGCCCTTCTGTAGACTTCAAGGAGGTGTGCCCTTCTGCTTCCTTTTTTTTAGAAATCTATCCACTTGTATAAATCTTTCTGTTTTTACAAGCTCATGTGGTGGTCTCCTATCAGCCCAGCTGCAGCCTGAGCGATTTGGGGCCATTCATTTGTGCCTGTTATCCTGTAGCTCCTCTCCAAGCAATGCTCTGGCTTGGCTGTGATCTCAAGTGTGACAGAGATATGTGATTCTGACCCTAGTGAATTTGTGTAGGTCCTTATAGGTCAAGGGAGTCATCCTCAGAAAGTCAAAGTGTTTGGACCTGGTGTGGAGAGGACTGGCCTGAAGGCAAGTGAGCCGACCCACTTCACTGTGGACTGCACAGATGCAGGAGAAGGTAAAAGCAGGCTGGGCTGTTCTGTGGTATTAGAATCACAGGTCATGCAAGGAGGGGATGATGTTCCATGCTGGTTTACCTTATTTTGTGGAAAAACCTTGGGAAGCAGAGCATTGCAGTGAATTGTGATCTGATCTGTTTCATTAGTTAACATGGTGACTCAGACAGCTAGAAGGGGGAATGGTCTGGCTGTTTGGCTGGCAGTGTCTGTGCTGTCCAGTAGCAAACCTCCACTTGCTTTTCCTAGGTGATGTCAGTGTTGGAATTAAGTGTGATGCTCGTGTGGTCAGCAGTGAGGAAGAGGACATAGATTTCGACATCATCCACAATGCTAATGATACATTCACAGTGAAGTACTCACCACCTGCGGCCGGGCGCTACACTATTAAAGTGCTTTTTGCAGGAGAGGTTTGTAATCTTCATTTTGCAGCCTGATGTTTTGAGAATCCATTTCTCTGCTCTTTGATCACCATGCATTTGCCAGTTCACAGCTGGCTCTTTCTACATCCACTCACATGCACTTGGTTTGGTTGCTGTTTCTATAGCAATGTAAAATATGGAAAATTCTTTTGTAATAATTACATGTATACAAGTGAGAGGAGTTGGTTTGGGACGCTGAAGTTTGTGTAATGTGTTGGACTGGCATAATGAATGTGGTCTCCATAGTGGGGTAAGGCTGCCTTCTGAAGGTAAAAAACCTAAGTTGCTTTTCAAGGAAAATAGGGAAGAATTTTTTTCCTTAAAAATAAAAAACAGAGAGAGACAAACTTCCAGCTGTTAACTTTGCCCTGTATTTTGAGTTATACTAATCAGTAAGGCAATGTTTAAGTGAGGTGAAATTTTACTCAAGATGCTGGAATTAGAGCAGAATTATCTTAAAACTATTACCTGTTTAATTTTGGCTAGTGAAGAGTGACTTGGTTATTTTGGGAGTTGTGTTTTTGTTGCAGGAAATTCCTGCCAGCCCATTCAGAGTTAAGGTGGACCCCTCACATGATGCCAGCAAAGTGAAAGCTGAAGGACCTGGGCTGAACAAAACTGGTGAGAGCTGGGTTCATGTAGTATGACCAATACTGGATCCTGAGGAGCTGTTGCAGGATGGTCACAGCCTGGCTGAGCATTGCTGGGATGCAGCAGCAGGGTGGGGGTCAGGCAGTTGCAAACAATGCTTTTCCCTTGATATTTTGCTTGGCTGGGCTTTATTGGTACTGAATGCTTCTTGAGGAGAGTTTCTCTGTGTGAGCTGTGTGTAAATTAGAATTAACATTTTTCTTCAGGTGTGGAAAGTGGCAAACCAACACACTTCACTGTGTTCACCAAGGGAGCTGGAAAAGCACCACTGGATGTGCAGTTCAGCAGCTCAGTGCCAGGAGAGGCAGTGATGGATCTGGATATCATTGACAACTATGACTATTCCCACACAATTAGGTACACGCCCATACAGCAGGTATGTCCATCTTCTGTAGAGGCACAGGAGTGAATACCTCGTGTTGTTGTAGTGCAGTGACCTCCCTCCCTAGCACCTGTGCACAGTGGAAAAAGCAGAAAAAACTTGCCAGGGTATCTTGTTCCCCAGAATCCCTAATGCGTGCAGTGAAGTTGGAAAGCAGTAATGCAGTTTTTCTGGTGTAGTTATTGATAGCTTGCCACTGTTTTCTTTTCTATGACGAGGAGAGATACTGATGCAGTAGCACACAGCTCACATCATCATTCCATACCTTATCAGTTGAAGAAGAAAGGTGGCAAACCTTCCCAGACTCCACAATGGAGCTGCCTGCTGCCCCAGCTGTTGCAGTCCTGCAGAGCTGAGGTTGTGGTGTGCTGCCTGTCAGCAGGCTGCTGGTGTCAAAGGAGCTGGAGTGCAAACCAGAGCAGGGACAAAAAGAAGAGTGAGTGGTGCTGCACTAGTTCCCAGTAGGCAAGTGATGAAGTTGGTGCCTTTCTAGCAGCATCATTAAAGAGCTGAAAGTGGAAGCTCCTAATAGCTAGAAGCATTTTTCCTTGCACTGTACTTGTATGTTTGTAAAGGGCCACTAAACACCAGAATGCACAAATCATGTATTTCTGAGGATATAGGTGCTCTGGTGCTGGGATGAAGGTGCTTTGCTACTCTTGTTCTCCTGAACAACCAAATGTACTAGGTCATCTGCCCCAGCTTCTTTGAGTGGAGCTATGTAAAAGTGAACTGATAAAGAAAAGTGCAGTATTATTTAACTGATAGTGCTGGTTCAGAGTTCTTGGAAGCATCATAGAGCTAACGTTTGTTTTTTGATAAAGCAGTTGCATGATCTCAGGATGTGGCTGGCGTGCCTGTTTGGAGAGGCTTTGGCTTGTTTAGTCAGGCTTGGTATGCAGAAGGGAGCACTCTGTACTCCCATGTGTTCATGAGCAGTACCAGATTTCTGTGCTTCACCTGAAAATCACCAGTGAAACAAGCCCAAACCAGGTTTTCCACTTGGGTCTTCCATCTGGAGAAGTACCATGGGTCATGGAAGTGCTGTGGGCTTAAAGGAGATGCTCATGGAGAGCAGTGGCAGGAGAGCAGTGGTTAAGAGATGAAAATAGGCTGCTCAGCAATTAGAGTAGTCTTGTTGTCCCTCCATGCTGTGAATGAGACTGTGGACTCCTCAGAGCAGGGAAGGATGGAATAGGTAGTTAAATTCCTGAGGGGCAGCGTCAGTTGCAGAGCAGCCTTGGTTTAATGCTGTTTATTTGGTCTTATCTATCTCGTGGTGTTGCTAGAGCTACCTGTGTATGTGTTTTCTAAAAACAACCAAAAATAATCATGGAAGCTCTTCACTAGCTTGCATGAAACATCCATGATTATTTCACTTGGGAGCAGAACCAGCCAAGAGTGAAAAGTAAGCAAACAGTGAATATAGCTAAAATATGGACTGCGGTAGGAGAGAATAAAAGGAACACACATCATGGGCTGGAGCTTGCCGTGGCTGTGCAGCATTCCAGCCAAAATACACAAGAGCATTAATCTTTCTGACTTGTAGAGCTTAAACCCGTGGTATTTCAGATGCTGTAATAATATGGCCTCTTTGCAGTCTTAGCTTTGGCCTCTCCATGTGGTGGAAGGGGATACCTGGTCTGGAGCAGTGGGACATTCATTCAGCTGTCGGGTCTGAGCACTGGGGGAGTGGGAGCCAGCCTGAGTTGGAGGCTTTGCCAGGCAGCTTGAATATAGTCTAATTAAATGTTGGAAACAACTGTCTTTTTTGCTCTTCCTGTATTAAATAAAAACCATTTAGTACTTTGAAGGGCTGCAGTGGTGTGAGCTTTAGTGTCCATAAACCAGTAAGTTTGGCTGTGACCAGATAAAATGGTTGTGTACAGCTTGAGTGTTGGTGTGTCTCTGTGAAGTGAGGAACTGAGCTAACACGTAAATTCTCCACCTAGGGTCCAATGAAGGTTCTGGTAACTTATGGTGGTGATCCTATCCCTAAAAGCCCTTTCACAGTGGGTGTTGCTGCTCCTCTAGACCTAAGCAAAGTTATAGTCAATGGACTCGAAAACAGTAAGTACCTGTGGGCTGGAAGCCTCTGAAGGGTCTCTGGAGTCTGGGTGATAGCCAACATGTCCTGCTGGAACAGGAGCAGGCAAAACAATCTCCTTTTTAACTTGCTACTGCTGGGGATCAAGTAGCTCGTAGCTCCAACTTTATAACTTTGTCACACTTATTTAGGTGGTCCTCTTGAAGGCCAAATTTCAATTTTTTAGATTTTTTTTCTTTTTTTTTTTTCTTTTTTGCTAAGATTACAAAGTAATGTGGAGAAAACATGTGTTTGGGCTTTGGTCATTTGTGGTGAACAGAGCACTTACTGATGAAATATGTTTCCTGAGGGCTAGATGGCCATTCAAATGTATCAAACTCTTACAATGCACAGTGTCATTCATACAGTCTTTTTGTTTTCCAAAAGTGAGGGAACTTAAGGCTGTGAAATATTGTTGCTTTCCTGAAATGAGCCTCTCTCTAATAGTCTCAGACCACACCTTACAGGCTTGTTTTCCCCTGTAGCTTTGTGATGTCAATTAATCAAAGCATTTGGTTTTGGTTGGGTTTTTTTTGTTGTTTGGCTTGGGAGCGTTTTTTGCCTGCAGAGGAATGCAGACTGGGTAGGGCTCTGCCAGTACCTGCTCCCTCAGTGGTGTGTGCATGGGAGACTCCTTGGATTGCTGTCTGATGTTAAGTAAGTGATGTAATATGGGTTTTGTCTTTTTCAGGAGTGGAAGTAGGCAAGGATCAAGAATTTGTAATTGATACCAAAGGAGCTGGTGGGCAAGGTAAACTGGAGGTTAATATTTCCAGTCCTATGAGGAAAGCTGTGCCATGTCTGGTGGAACCAGTTCTGGGTAAGGAGTGCAGCACTGCAAAATACATCCCACGGGAAGAAGGACTGTATGTGGTGGATGTGAGTTATGATGGCAACCCAATCCCAGGGAGCCCCTACACTGTGGAGGCCACATTACCCCCAGACCCTTCCAAGGTGAGTGAACAGCATAGGGCTGTAACAGCAGCTGATATCTGAAAACTGAGTTGTGGGCTACTGCATGAGACTTGGCTTGGTCTTGGCCAAAACATACATCCTTGCTCAGTGCTCAGTGATTCTTTTAGCAGTCTCTCTGACTTGTAGAATTCATTCCTGTAACGCTGTATTGGAAAAAATGTTCCACTAATCAAAAATATGGCAAATATCTTGCACAATGTAGCAAATTTAGGTATCACTCCCAGTTTAATAGGTCTGCCTGATAAGCATCTCTGATGTATTAAGATGATATTTTTAAGGAAATATATTCAAGAAAAACATGTGTACAGCTATCAAATATTTTAACATTTCCACCTTTTATTTCCCATAGAAATACATTTTATGCATAGCTGTATAAAAACAGCTATGGTGAGATTATAAATATCCTTGCCTAGAAACCTCTTAGGAGGAGAAGTAACAACTTTACAGTAAAAATGTAGGGCTGAGTGGCAAAGGAGAGAGTGCCTTCTCTGTATTTTTAAGAGCCTGTAAATCAAGTCCCACATACAAGCAAGTCTAACTAGGAAGTCTTCTAGCAGTAACATGGAAAAGGCCATTTAGCTCAACTGCATATTCTCTTCTAGGTAAAAGCTCATGGTCCAGGTCTTCGAGGGGGCCTTGTTGGAAAGCCAGCCCAATTCACAATAGATACCAAAGGCGCAGGAACCGGAGGTTTGGGTTTGACGGTGGAAGGCCCGTGTGAAGCTAAAATTGAATGTTCGGACAACGGTGATGGAACCTGCTCTGTCTCCTACCTGCCTACGAAGCCTGGAGAGTATTTTGTAAACATCCTCTTTGAAGAAGTTCACATTCCTGGTTCGCCCTTTAAGGCAGATATAGAAATGCCGTTTGATGTCTCTAAAGTCATTGCCACAGGCCCAGGCCTGGAGCGGGGTAAAGTAGGCGAGGCAGGGCTGCTGAATGTCGACTGCACAGAAGCAGGGCCCGGGGACCTGAGGGTGGACATGGTGTCAGATACTGGCTCCAAAGCCGAGGTGCAGATCGATGATAACAAAGACGGGACCTATGTCGTTACCTACGTGCCACTCTCAGCTGGCATGTACACAATCAAGATGAGATATGGAGGAGAGCAAGTGCCTAAATTCCCAGCCCGGGTCAAAGTGGAGCCAGCTGTGGACACAAGCAGAGTTAAAGTGTTTGGGCCAGGAGTCGAAGGAAAAGGTGAGATTAACTGTTGTTATCGGAATTTGTAGGACTTTTAGTCCTTTCTGTGTGTTCTAAATGTTGACAGTTGTAAAAGCTGTGTGTGTTTCCATGGTGATCCTTGGACAGACAGGAGTCTCGTGTTCCCAAACAAGCTGTTTATCATGCTGCTTCACCAAATGTTTTGTTGTTGGAATATATTGCACTTCTTGAAGTGACTCTTCAAAACATTTCCTGTAGATGTGTTCCGAGAAGCTACAACTGAGTTCACTGTGGATGCTCGACCTCTAACGAAGGCTGGTGGTGAGCACATCAGGACACAGATCACGAGCCCCTCTGGCTCCCCCACAGACTGTCTCATCCAGGACAACGCGGATGGAACATATTTAGTGGAGTACACGCCATTTGAAAAGGGTAACCTTGGGGCTTGTTTTCTTTTACTTGAAAGGGGAAAACCAAGAGCAAGCAGCTCTTCTACCACTTCCATTTGGCAAACCCCTGAGGTCTGCCAGTAACTTGTTGGCATCTTTGCAAGAGGTCTGCCAGCAGAGGAGCTAATTCTGCAGGAAGTAGCTCTATTTTAACTTGAAGAACTGGCTTTTATGGTAACTTGTCTTTAGAAGAACAGTTTGTAGATGGAATCTCAATTACAAAACACTTGTAAAGTCTTGTGAAATGCATGAAGCAACTCTTATCTATATACAGACATTTAAGTCTGTAGCATCTTGTAGAGCTATGTTAAGTCATGAGCATTTTTAGGGAATTCAGGAGATGTTTGCCTCTTTTTAATAGGTCCACACACAGTCAATGTGACATACGATGGTGTGCCTGTGCCAAATAGTCCCTTCAGAGTGAATGTCACAGAGGGCTGCCATCCATCGCGTGTGAAGGCACAAGGACCTGGACTTACAGAAGCTTTCACAAACCAGCCCAATGCCTTTTCAGTTGTCACCAGGTGATGGGGCCTGTTTGATCTTGAAGGAGTATTTGTGGGGGGGGGGAGAGGACTGTAGTGGTGTGTGCAATGCAGGATGTGAAACTCAGAACAAATATTTATAAAAAGTCCAAGCCGTGTCCAGCTGATGGCTCTGTGTGCTACCTCATCATCTACTCTGCTCTGCAAACATTTGACATTAGGGATTGATAGTTACTGAGAAGAAAATTCTAGCAAAATTTGAGCGAGGCAATGCTGAACAGCTTTGCATGGCAGCACATATTGAAGGCTGAACATTGGAAGTCAGGATACCACGTTTCCAAAAAGGATGAAAATGCAGCTGGAACATGTGAGGACAACAAAGCTGCTTTAGAAGCAGGTGATTCTAACAATGTGTGTTTCTGTCTTGCAGAGGGGCAGGAATTGGTGGCCTTGGAATAACTGTTGAAGGACCTTCAGAATCTAAAATTAGCTGTAAAGATAACAAAGATGGGAGCTGCAGTGCCGAGTATATTCCTTATGTTCCAGGAGATTATGACGTTAACATCACGTATGGGGGAGAGCATATTCCTGGTAAGAGCTCTTGCTCAGTGGCTTTCAGAAGAGTGATGAAGTCAAACTATGGATTCAGAGTTCTCAATTGGCTGCATTTCCCTTGTGCTATGGGATGTTATGTGATTTTGGCTTTCTGCTTTTGCTCAGAATTCAGGCAGAAAAGGCAGTGGCATTTGCTCAGATGGGTACAGATGAGTGGAACAGGAAAAGGGACACTAACCCTTGACAAATAACTGATATTATATACAAGTGGTGTGTAATACTTTAGGTTATGAAAATAGCCCTTTGTTGTGTGGATGCATTAACGATCCTGTTCTGCAGTAAGAGGAGATGTTTCCTGTTGTTCCCATTCTCTTTGTTGGCATACTGAACACAACAAGATATAAGGAAATGTATTGCCTCCATGATGCTTCATTTGCACTTCTGGTTTCTTTCATGTTTGGTTTTTTTCCTGAGGTGTGAGAAGTAGATAGGTCACAGATGGTTGACACCAATTCTGTGAAACTGTAGAAGCACCATCGTTACATTTCCAGCTTTTGCAGAAGCAGAGGGATGGTGTGGAGGCTGTGGGGTTGTAATTCCTGCCTGCAGCAGAGGGATAGTAATAAAAAAACCCTAAGGAAGGTAGAGAAAAAAGACCTTTTGTTCTCTGTAACTGTTAACCTTGTGGTGTTTAACACTTACCGTGTCAACTTCCAGGCAGTCCTTTCAAGGTTCCTGTGAAGGATGTTGTGGATCCCAGCAAGGTGAAGATAGCAGGACCAGGTCTGGGTACAGCTGTTCGAGCCAAAATCCCCCAGTCCTTCACTGTGGACACCAGCAAGGCAGGAATAGCACCTCTTGAAGTGGTGGTGACAGGACCCAGAGGTAAGAACCAAGGTATTCCATCTGACTGGGCCCATATCTGTGTTTGGGCAGGTAACATGGTTCTGCCCAGCCTGCAAAGGTGGCGATGCCACTTGAGTGAGCATTTCCCTTGCTCCTTTTCAGCTGTTGTGTGCCCCTTAGCAGCTGACCCACATCATGCTGTGACAGAGAGCTGTGTCCTAGGAAGTGCTGCTTTAGACAGAGTCTTTGATGGCTTTAGCCTAATCTTCAGGGCTGGGAGAAGTGATGTGACTAACCATCACCGGTGAACAATTGTGTGTTAAGTTTTAGATATCAAAAAGTAAATCCAAAATCTAACGTGAACAGTGACTTGGGAAACCTGGGTCAGTGGATTGCAGGAGTCTCTGAATAATGATGAAATTGCTCAGTGGCCCCCAGAGAACAGCTAGGCCCTTGGAGTGATAGGATTAATGGTGTTTGCAGTAACCTAGAAAGCAGTGTCTCAGTGGCAGAGTATCTTGTCAGTGAGCACCTGCTGGCTGCAAGTCTCACCTTGCTGGAGGTGAGAGCTGCCCCTGCACTGGAGTGTCAGCCTTGCTGTGCAGGTGCCCTGCAGGTAACACTTGTTTAATTCTAGCGGATGAGACGGATTCCCAGGGATGGCGCTCCCCATTGAAAGCAATTTCGGATTTCTTTAAAGATGGTCCAAAGGGTGACACTGAGACAGGTTTGAACTCTCACTAACTACTGGCAGTTTTGGTTCTTGGAAATCCGGTTGGCAACAGCAAGAATCATCTGCAGGAGGGAGTGGGAAACCAACGGTGTTGCTTTTAGGCTGTGCATGGCAGGCTATATACATTTCTTTTGTGCTTGCTTTACCACTAATCCTTTCTGTGTTTTAAAGCCAACTTGTAATTGTAGACTGCTTTGTGTGTTGATCTGAACTGATATGTCACATAATCTTTGTAGATTTAACTTAATGCAAATTGAAATAATTGATCCTGCTTGCTTAGGTCTTTGGCAGCTTGCAGGGTGTTCTTGCCTAGGCAGCAAGCCTGCCTTTCTAAACACCTGATTGTGAAAGACAGCTGGTGAATGCTATACACCAGCTGGCTTTAGAGTTCAATTCTCTGCGATGAATCCCAATAATATGAAGTAATCTTGTAAATGACAGTACAGACAATTATAAGCATTACTCATTTTCTGTCTTGAAAGATCTTCAATGCACCTTTAGCAATTGTTCTCGACCTAGACTGTACCAAAAGGCAGATCTTTTTCCAGTATTTTCATGCTAGCTTTTGTTTACAGCAAGAAGATGGGAGCCCAGACAGCAGTGGATAAAAAAAATCTATTTCAAGTCAATGACTTTGAATATAAAATAAGGGAAGCTGATCATTGATCCATGCCTGTTGCTTTCATCAAAAAAAATTTGAAATTTGTTATAAATGAGTAGTCCATACTTTAGCTTTGTGCAGCAAATGACTATTTTAATAGCATAGCTGAGAAAAGAATGTATTGCTTTTTTAGGAGTTGTGGGACCTGTTAATGTGGTAGACAATGGAGATGGCACCCACACGGTGGTGTACACCCCTATGCAGGAGGGACCCTACATGATCACTGTCAAATATGCTGATGAAGAGATTCCTCGAAGGTAAGGTTTGCAGAACTGAAGATTTAACAATCCAGTGGTGTTCTCCTAGCACATAAGCACCATTTACAGACTGGTGTGGTGCTTTTTACTTAACCAGTGCAGCTCCTTGCATGACTTTGGGGTTCAGTGGTGTTTTGAGCCCACTGCACCAGCAGCAGACAGTGTAAGAGGGCTGTATAGCATGTACTGCAGCAACTATCAGCCACTGACTTGGGAGGAGGGAAAATAATGGGTTGCTCTTTTAGTCCCTTCAAGGTGAAGGTGCTTCCTACGTATGATGCCAGTAAGGTGACAGCGAGTGGTCCAGGGCTCAGTTCCTATGGCATTCTAGCCAGCCTGCCTGTGGAGTTTGCTGTGGATGCTAAGGATGCTGGGCAGGGACTTCTGGCTGTACAGATCACGGTAAGTAACAGAACCAAGCAGGACAGGAAACATGTTTTCTAGGTGGGCATGAGTCTCTCCTTTCAGAAGTGTCCACAGCTTCATCCCAACACACCCGATGTCCTGAAGACTGGACTGCTGACTGGACACTAAAGTCTGGTACAGCAAAGTCTTGCACTCTGCATTTGTGAAGCTCTTGAGAGTGCTTTTGTGAAACTTTTGTCTTAAAGTGATCAGATATGGTCTGTTTGGCTCGTGCCTAACCTTGCACTCTGCAAATGCCCAAAATGACATAAGTAATTTCGTGTAAGATTATGGAAATACTGGCATTTGAAATGGAGGCAGTCTTCTAGCAGTGTTCAGCAAGGCCATGAGATAACGACCGCTCTGAGCATCACATTATGATAAATTAGATCACACATCTCCCTCGAGGTTGCCAGAAGTCATAAGCTGCTTAAGGAGATACTGCAGGAATGTTTTGATTTGTCTTTGTTACTACTCTTTCCAAAGTTTCTGGTGCCTGGACTCTGTGGCCTCAGTGAAAAGGTGTCTGATTAGTGGACCATAAACCACATAGCTGAGCTCTGGCATGCCTAGGTCATGGTATGCCTGGTTGTACTTGCCCTTCTGCATTCTTGCTCCTCTCCTGTCTCAATGCCTGCTCAGGTGCACCAAAGCAGTTGCCATTAATTCTGGTGTGTAAGTGTGCTCTTAAAGGATCCAAAATGCTTATCAGAGCTCCCAGCCTGGCTGGGGCTTTGAAGATCAAGTTCCACAAGTCCTGTATGGTAGAAGTGCATTAGGTGATCCTTCTGGCAGCATTTGTTTGCTTCTTATTCTGAGCTGTTGAATGTCAAATGTTTCTCAAGCCTTCCTGAAAGAAGTAAGCTCTTTTGTGCTGTACCTAAAACCTCAAGTCCTTTGCAGCTTATACTGTACCCCAGGCAGCATTAAGTCATAAAATACAAAACTGAGTCAACATGTGATTCCCTATAAACAGGCTTGGAAGACTTTTCAAAATGCTTTGTGCTTTGCAGCTGATGGGAAATGGTAGTTGAAGGGGCTGCATAGACCTGCTTTTAGCTGTAGACATTGGAGTGTGCCAGCAGCTGGATGCCTCATGCAGGAAGGCTGACAGCAGACTCCAGTAAGGCTTCCCCCTCCCCTCAGACCCTTCAGGGAGCAGCTGCCCAAGGCTACCCAGTGCTCACTCAGGACAGAGCTGCCCAGTGTGACTGCCCATTTGTGCCTCAGGGAACAGGGAAGTGTTCCTTATTTCCAACATCAGTATGACAGTGAAGCCTGAACTTCGTACAGTTAATATAAAGTTCATTAAAATGGCTTGCTGGTCTCATAAACATTCTCATATCAACCAAAGAGTAGTTAATGATAGTACTGATTATTTTATAGTGGTCTGATATCTTTCTGCTCCTAATACTCTGTTCTTGTTACAAAGTCTTTGAGCAAAATATCTTTAAACTTCAAAAAGCTGCAGTTCTGTATCTATTTGAGACCACCTAAGTGTGATTGTGAGCAGATTTGATGTCCAGCTAAGGAAAATCAAAACCTTCGTAGCACTGAAATCTTCTGGTTTGCATTCCTCAGGACCAAGAGGGAAAACCCAAGAGAGTGGACATTCATGACAACAAGGATGGCACTTACACGGTCACCTATGTCCCTGACAAGACGGGCCGCTACACGATTGGCGTTAAGTATGGGGGAGATGATATCCCAGCCTCTCCCTACAGGATCCGGGCTTCTCCAGCTGGGGATGCCAGCAAGTGTTTGGCCACAGGTGAGTGCTAGGCTCCTCTCTTTGCTGTTGTTTGTTCTGGGTGTAAAGCTGCCCTCTGAGCATGGTACAGTAGATGTGATGGGTGTAGAAGACGTGCTTGAGACTTGTGTAGTCTGGCTGCTCTTACAGAAGTGGTGTTCCTAAAGATAAAGAAGTGTCCACCCTGTGGGTGAGCAGGGATCTGTTTCAGCCTCTAGCAAAATCTGTCAGACTGCCTGGGCTATTATAAACAGCCAGATGCAACTGTCTGATGCTTATTTTGGCATCAATAAATCCAGCTGAGAACTTAAGTGAATGTGATTTAAAAATAACTCATATGTGTGTGTCCACTGCATCCTGTTCCTTGCACAGTGAGCATTCCAAGAAGCTTTTTATTGCAAGCTACAACAGAATTAATTCTGAGGATGTAAATAGCTGGTCATGTGCAAAGGCTATTCAGGCTAGGTGTTATTAGTGAAGGTTTCTGCTGTTTTTCTATGTGGTCAAGATTGGCCTGGGTCTGAACAGGATTTTGGGAAGAAGAGAACCTAAAGATAAGATATTACTATGACTCAAAAAATCACTACCTTGGTGTAGGAGTTCTCCAGATTTTTTGCTGTAGGAGCACGCAGTGTGTTCATCACATGGCTTTGGGCGGTCACTGTGGCATGCTCCCACCTCCTAGGAGGCAGTGGCAGGAACTAGTTACAAGAATACCACTGAACATTAAGTCCTTTGATTGTAGAATAAATAAATAAAATAGGCAAGGCCAAATGGAATGGGGAAACTTAATCTGTTGTTGTAGACCTGTGAGAGTGTGTGGGCATTGTGCAGTCAGAGTGCACCTGAAGCCTGTCCATGAGCTGGCTGCTATCAAATTGTTTTAAACAGAAATACATTCCTGACACAATGGTAGAAAAAGATATAATCAAAAAACTAAGAGATATCATCAAAATATGTTTAAAAGATGCCTTAATGGGTAAATCTGATACTCTTCAAAGTAACTCAAGTCACTAGCTATTGAAAGTAACTGAGATGGAGATTACTGCCAGATGCCAGCTAAAATTTCCCATTTCCAAGAAGTGCTTCTGATTCAGTGCTGTAAAGCTGAAATGCAATCACTGTAGGAGTAAGTGCTGGAATACTGCCAATGTATTAAACCAGCAGGTTCATTGCCAGTTGAAAATGAGCCATTTACCTGGTAACAAGTGAGGGTCAGAAGCAGGAGTACTCAATATGTACTACTGCAAATAAGACATAATAGTTCTCATTTAAACACAGTGTTCTTCAAGCTAGATCTGATTGCTTCAATTCTGGCATTGTTACATGGTGTTCTTTTTTCGGGATGTGTGGCAGAACAGTGGAAAATCTTGTGTGGATAATGGTGGAGAAAGTGTGGCCGTGGCTGCTACTGCGCCCTTTTATATCTGCTTACACAGAGAGGTTTATGTTAAAGCAGTGAAGCTGAGTTGCTGGCAGAAGAATGTGCCTTTGGCTCTGCATAAAGGAGTAGGATGATAAGAGTATGGGTTAAGGCATTGCTTTCTTCAAACTTAGCTTTTTTTCCTCTCTCTTCCCATCCAGCCTCTCTGATTGCAGAGAAGGAGAATTGGTGGCCAGCTCTAGCATACCACTGTGCTGACCAGTTTTACAAATGTCCCTTGTTGTACATCTGCTCCCAAAACCACATCTGTGGCTCCCTGGGACCAGTGCCTTGGTGCCATGCTCCCCAGGCACCTCACAGGCAGTCTGCCTGGGAAAACTGTCCTGTGAACACTTTCTGTAACTAAAATTGCCTTGTAGGTCCTGGAATTGCACCCACTGTGAAGACTGGTGAGGAGGTTGGTTTTGTGGTGGACGCCAAATCAGCAGGGAAGGGAAAAGTGACGTGTACCGTCCTCACGCCAGATGGGACAGAAGCTGAAGCAGATGTTGTTGAAAATGAGGACGGGACTTACGATATCTTCTACACTGCTGCCAAACCAGGGACCTATGTGATTTATGTCCGCTTTGGTGGGGTGGACATTCCCAACAGTCCTTTCACCGTCATGGTAAGCCAGTTCTGCTTAGCCAGTTCTGCTCCAGAAGTACCTCCCACTCGGATCCCTGCTGCTGTGTTTTATTTAGCAATAGGTTAACTCTGTGTGTAAATGTTCAGGTATTTATTAGGCTAGCAGGAGCTAATGAATCCGTGTTCTTTGCAGAGCTTATTTTGAGCAGGCAGTGAGGTTTAGTGAAGTGGGATAGAAACCATCAGAGGATGAAGACTTGGCTTTTTGGAAGAAATTTGTTTTTCATTTCCTGACCAAGTAGTTCTTTTCCTAAATGATGTAAGGGTGGTTGTAATCAGCTTCTACAACTAGTTATGTTGGCCATTGTCAGATACAGTGCTCTGCCTTCTCTGTCTCTTACTTTTTATTAAGATGATCCCAAAATAAGGAATGGTCTGCTGACAGATCCCAGGGAAGCAGACCGTTAGCTCACACTTAAAAATTATTTTTAAGTGCTAGTTAAACTGTTGTAGCCAAATTTTCCCTCCTTCTAATTATCTTCCTTCCTATGTGCAGCAGTCCACATTTAGCAAACAATACCCCAGTCCCCTGAGAAGCAGACCAGGTGCCTCTCAGGGCTCACAGAGGCCCTTCATGTGAAGAACATCTCTCTGTGTTGGCAAAACAATTCTCAGTCTTGTAATCTCAGCCCAAGCAGCCTCTGGTGCATCTTGGTCCCTGAAATCACAGGACTGTACTGAGTCCAGATGGGGCTCACGGGCAAGTCCCTGGGGCCAGCAGCTCTGGCTCTTCCTACCTGTCATCCTGGCAGATTGCTATGGGTGGCTGAAGATTTCCTTGAGAGAAACAACTCCCTTGGTCACTGCTCAAGGTTCACCACAGGAAATGCCTCTTGAGGTCAGGGAGCCCAATCCTGGCCAGCCAAAATTCCCACTTCCTAGCTGACTGACAAACACATACATTATGTGTTTGACTTGGGTGTCTCAGCTGGGGACAGAGAACACTGAAACAGCAGCATTTCTGTTTTGCGTTGGTTTTTTTTAGTGGAGTCCATCCATCAGAAGTTTCCAGTGAGTTGTTTCATTAGGGTGGTTTGCAGTGATGTGAATGGGCAGGAGGGGCTGGGATGGCTGAGCCTGGGGGAGCTGCCTGCGTGGGTGTCAGTCCCAGCCACTCGTGTTGGGTTAATGGGAGAGATGGGAATTTGCAAGTCGTGCTCTTGGCACACTTGGTGAGGAGAGCGGCTGCGCCAGAGGAAAACACATTTGGTGCCTTGACGACGCAGTCCCAGCTATGAATCAGAAGAAAGGCTTTGCTGCTATGGCTGGATGTGGGCTGGGTCATTCACCCAAGTGCATGAACCAGAGCAGCCTTCCCACAGCAGCTAGCTCCCCTGCCGCCCAGCTGGCGTGTCATGGTGCACAGCACTCAGGGACTCCCATCTTAGGCTTAAACCTTTCCCTTCCCTCACTGCATCAGTCCCATAAGAAAGCAAGTCTAATATTCAATTCCACCAGTGTTCAGACAGAGCTTTCCACTTCCCTCCCAAGCATGCAACAATGGCACGTACTGGCTTTGTCCTTTTGCTGTGCCACTGGTGGCTCCCTCCAGTGCCTGCGGATAAGGGCAGTTTCCCAGCTTCCCTGACTGGATCCGGGTCTTTGCTATGGCAAGAGGACTGGGAGGGCTACACAGTGGGAGGAAGGTGTTGAACTGGAAGGAGCAGTGTGTTCTGATCTGTGGAAGGTGGGAGTGCCTCCATGCCAGAATAGCATCTAATAACAACTAACGTGCCTCTGCCCCTGCCCAGGCTGTAGATGCAGATGATGTCGCCGCACAGTCGCAGGAGCCAGTGGGCGCTTCCCCGCCCGGATTCCGCCCTTGGGTACACAATTTTTACATTTTTCAGCTCCCCATCTGTGTTCCATTTCAGATGACAGCCTGCTTCTTGGGACTGCTTGATTGCTCTGGTCATTGTGTTCATTCTTTCTGTTTCATCAATTGTTTCAATTGTTCTTGGGATCCAGACCTTGTTTTTTCTTTGCTGCTTGAAGGGAGTCTCCAAATAAACTCATGTAAACATGAAGAGGATCATTGCACCCACAGCTTCCACTTCTGAAATGTCTGCTGTTGGCAAAAGCACCCTGAGTGCACTGCTTTGTTTTCCCAGTAAAATCACAGTGTCTTGAGTTCAGAGTCGCATTGTGAAACTTGTTTCTTTTGTCCATTTTGTGTTGCAATCATTCTGCCCCATTTAAAAATCACTTTCTCTTCCAGGCCTTAAGCAACTAAATCCTTTCAGATGGAGCCACTTTGGGTCTTGTGTGCACTACATTGTCTTCCATCCCTTTGTGTTCCATTTTTATCTCTTCCTTTTTTCCAGCATGTCTTCCATCCGCGCCGTGTTTGATTTGCTCTGCTCTGCGGTGTGGTGTAAAGGAGAGCTTGGCCGGACACTGCTCTGGTGGAGCCCAGTCCTTGGCTGGCTGCAATAATCACACTCTCTTCTGCTTGTGCTTGCAGTGGAGTTGCTCAGTGCTCATTTGGCTCTACCAGCCCTTTTGAAGTGACCCATCTTTTTGCTTGCTTTAGGTTACAGAAGAAGCTTATGTTCCTGTTGGAGACATGAACGGCATGGGGTTCAGGCCCTTTGATATGGTTATCCCATTTGCTGTAAGGAAAGGAGAAATAACAGGTACCTGGAGTGCCTCTCAGGGAGATCATGCTTTTTGTTAGTGTGTTTATCCATTTGCAGTTAACAGACTGGGTGGTCTAGACCACAATGTGTGTGGGAGGTTTGTATCCTGGCAGCAATATAGCTGTTTAACTTCACATTGAGTGGCACCCGCTGAGGATGAGTAGGATATGGCCCTTCAATGGTTTGAGTTAAGTGAGGGGATTCTTGGTGTGTTGCTGTGGCCTCAGTGCTGGGCTGTGAGCTACTGCACTATAGGGCCTCTTGATGCTTTTTCCCTTCTGGAGCAGCTACATGCATCCTTGATAAGCTCCATTATTTCTTTTCTGCAGATGCTATAAAGCAGTTAATTCTGCATTCCTGTTACTCATACCTTCTCCAAAGCAGGTGACCCCTCTTCTCCAGGTCTGGCAGCTGAGAGCATTGCTCCAGCAGCACCCTGGTTGCACTAAGCTCCTGCACACAAGGCCTGGGTCCCCTCTGCCCTCTAGCTCAGCAATCCCAACCCAAGCCCTGGCCTGTCCCAGTTTGAAGGAACAGTCAAATTTTCCTTTTCAAAAGTGCAGCAGAAGAGGGACCATCTTGCTACCAGGTAGATCAGTGCTTTTTATGCAGCTTGCTGTGAAAAGCTCCGTGGCTGCAGCAGACAGCCCTGCCTGTAGAGTTTGTAAGGTCACAGGACTGTTTGCCAGATGTCTACCACTGCCTTGTATTCATGTAGCTTAAGTAGAAAACATGTCTGGTTAGTGTTCCCATTAGTCTCCTATTTGTGCCTGTGGGTAAGGAATTTAACAATTTAAAATGCTTGTTTAAAATGGCTAGACAATTCTCTGTGGGTGGGAGAGGGGAAGCAGGCAGCTTCTCCCTCTGTAACTCCCATGGTGGCCTTTTGTAGGTGAAGTACACATGCCCTCTGGAAAGATGGATACACCAGATATCGTGGATAATAAAGATGGCACAGTAACAGTGAAATATGCTCCTACTGAAGTTGGGCTGCATGAAATGCACATAAAATACATGGGAAATCACATCCCAGGTAAGTCTGACAAAGCAGGCAGTGGAGATCTGAGTGCAGAGTCGTGCTCATGTATGTGCTCCCTGGTGAGGTTCTGTAGCTAAGTCATACATGCTGTGGAAAGATCTGCCCAGGATATTTTACCATTCAGCTGCCCTTTCTCTGCAAGCAGTCCAGAGAGAACTAAAGCAAAGGAGTAACTGCCAGCACATATGAGCTTCCATTGTGGTTTAATAGTACCAGCCAGGCTTAAAATGGATTTTGATTTTGGGGAAACTAGCTTTTGTGGTATTTTATTATGAAGAAGAAACATACAATTTTCTAACTACTAGTTTTTCAGGTTGAAATTTACTGCCGTGGTGCTCATCAAAACTACTGGTTACAGTCTGTGTTTATCCTTAAAACTGCATTGGCAAAAAAAATCTCAAAACTGTGGGGAGAACTGATTGGTTGAAATACTATAGTTACTGTTTCCATCTGATTGCCATAAAATAAAACACACATGCATATTATGCTGTAATCTTTCTTTCTTCCTGGCTGCTTCTTAACAAACAGAAACCACTGCATTTCATTCCATTTCTCTTTTGTCCTTGCTCCCCCAGCTCCCCGGTGGAAGCACTGCCTGGCCTGGAGGCTGTGGCTGCCCTGTGGTTCTCCAGGCATGCTGGCTTTGGGGGGCTGGGCAGAAAGGGACGTGTAGATAGGAGACAAAATACCTTCAGCACTGCCTGAGAGGGACTGCTGGTTCTGTTTGTACAGAAACACAGCATAACTTAGGCTAAAATGGGGAGCTCAGTGCTGTGTGGTGCTGCTTCAGTCTCTTCAGCACTTTATGGATATAGCACCCCCATAAGTGCTGACCTGTCTGCTGTATTGGTTCACTAACACCATTATCCTGTGCTGGGATGGAGAGATGATGTGCCACAATGTTTCTTTCTTGAAGGTTGTCATGAATCAAACTTTTTACTGTCTCAACTGCAAAATCTAACTTTGGACTGAAGAGCTATCTATGCCTTTTTTTGAAACCATTCTTGATTGTTAGTGACTGTGCTTTTGTTCTTGTGCACCAGCTTAGCTAATCTGAGGCTGGCAAATACATTCTTGGATACCCTTCAAATTTGCTAGTTCAGGTTCATTGAGTCAGACAATGTGCTGTGCTAGTTCCTAATTCTGTGCTGCTAAAATTCAGAATCAGTGCCTGAACTGAAAGCCTGCTTCTGAGTCATGTTCTGATTTAATGTGCTAAAAATAAACTTGCAGTGAGCAAGACCCTTTACAACATCATTTAAGCTTATCTCTGGTAACTAGAATAACACTTACTCTTCCATGACTGACTGTGGCACAAATTGTGGAGAAGTGTCTTTTGAGGATGGAATCAGAGGCTTATTTGGTTTTTAAGTGCATTATAGTCACAGTAAGGTTTTTCAGATACCAATACCACGTAATGAGAAGGGCGTGCAGGAACATGGGTATCAGTTCTTGTAGTCCAGACCACTCATCCTTAAAAGTGCTTCTTTTTGGTTTTTTCCTCTTTAGAGAGCCCTCTGCAGTTCTATGTCAATTACCCCAACAGTGGCAGTGTGTCTGCTTATGGGCCTGGCCTCATCTATGGGATTGCAAATAAACCAGCAACTTTCACCATTGTCACAGAAGATGCAGGAGAAGGTAAGTCAGTTCTTTAAACCCATCCTACCCTAAACAAGGAACTTCTTGGTAGTGTAATACACATTGGCTTTGATTTCCGTTTATCTGTCCAACTGTGAATCTCTGTGGTGCCACACAAATGACTTATGGAAACATCAGGCTGTAACTTGTAGAAAAAGCCGGTTTATTATCCCTTCCTGAGAGCACTAAATGTACCCTGTGGTACTGGGTGCATATTGTTTGTTCAATTAAAAATAAACTAAAAGCAGCCTAAATCTAGGGTTGATGACTGGATGTGGAATCACTGTTCAGGAAATCTAAACGCTGAATAGAACTGTGGCCTTAGTGGGTTGGTCTGAGCTGGTTTGCTGCTGTCCATTGAAAACACACATTTAAGCTCCATTTTCAGTACCATTTCAGGCACTGGTTATTTCTCTTTGGACCAAATCTTTGGACCTGGTGTTCACAAAGATTTACAGAAGTGCCACTCTACTTTTTTCCTAGGTGGACTGGACTTGGCTATTGAAGGACCTTCAAAAGCAGAGATCAGCTGCATTGATAACAAAGATGGGACGTGCACAGTCACATACCTGCCTACTCTACCTGGGAACTACAGCATCCTGGTAAAATACAATGACAAACACATTCCAGGCAGTCCATTCACAGCCAAGATCACAGGTATAAAGTTTAAACTTCTGGAAGCACTTCATATTAAAAATTAACCTCTGATACCATGGGGAACCTGGTTTGTGGCAGGAATTTGAAATCCTCTGACTTGTTCTGCTCTTAACCTTGTAATGTTTTGTGACTTGTTTCTCTTCATGTATTCAGATGATAACAGAAGACGGTCTCAGGTTAAGCTTGGTTCTGCTGCTGACTTCATGTTGGATATCAATGAGACTGATCTGAGTCTCCTAACAGCCAGCATTAAAGCCCCATCTGGTCGTGATGAGCCTTGTCTTCTGAAGAGGCTGCCCAATAACCACATTGGTAAGATCTGAGACATTACTGTGATAGTCTTTACTCCAGTTTGCTTTGCTTTGTAAAATGACTGACTTCTGTGCTCCTTCCCAGAAGTGTGTTGTTGAACCAAGTAGTTGATAGTGTTTGCTACAGTTGTCCAAAACCAGAAAAGTATGAAGAGTGGCCTCTTGTTTTTGCTTGCATGTGACGTGCCAGGTTGCAGTTGAAGTGGGTTTTGTCATCATATATGAATGGCCTTGTGGTCTACTTGAGAGCAACACTTCAACATGAGTAGAGACTGCTCTTCCAGTATTTCATTTTTTGGTATGATTAAGGCATTTAAATCAAGTATAACATGAATAAAAACTGAATAAATTTCTCACATTTCTCTGCTTTGTAGGCATCTCATTCATTCCACGAGAAGTAGGAGAACATCTGGTTAGCATCAAGAAAAATGGGAGCCACGTACCAAACAGCCCCGTGACAATCATGGTGGTCCAGTCTGAGATCGGGGATGCCAGACGGGCAAGAGTTTTTGGACGTGGCTTGGTGGAAGGACGAACCTTTGAAATGTGTGACTTCATTGTAGACACAAGAGATGCTGGTTAGTGCCCTCACAAAGGGACCATGAGATGCCATGAGATACATATTGACTCTCCACGAGAGCACTGCCTCCCTCAGCATGCAAACACCAGGTCACAAGCTGCAAAGCAGCAGCTGCCATTAAGCAGAGTCATTGCTGTCAGTTCTAAACCACAGACTGTGCTATTTTAGAATATGCTTTGTAAGGTCCTGGCTCATGTCTTTGTTACAACCAACAGGGACTGTCACTGAGGTGGTGCTGGCTTTAGTATCATTTGGTATTGCAAGAAGGAAATGAGGAAGATAGTTATTTCCCTGTTAGTTTAATGTGGAGCCTTGGATAACTTTTTAGCTTGGTAGATAACTTTTCAACATTTTTGAAAGAAAAAGGGATATGGTCAGAGAATTTAGGAGCTGAATGCATGCTGTGCCTCTGACTGATTAGGAGTACAGAAATGCCATTAAGGCATCCTGCCCATGTGCCCATTATGATACAAACCTACCAACTAGCACCTGCCATGACTTTGGACTATTTTATGTCAGATTTAGAGTAGAGCTTTGAAAATCTGAGGCTAACTTATCTGTATTGTAGGTTATGGTGGAATCTCACTGGCAGTTGAAGGACCCAGCAAGGTAGAGATCCAAACTGAAGATCTAGAAGATGGAACTTGCAAAGTGTCCTATTTTCCAACTGTGCCTGGTGTGTACATTGTGTCCACTAAATTTGCAGATGAACATATTCCAGGTAAGCAGAAGTGTTGGGCAAATTGTTGATTGGTACAACAGAATTCTTATCTGGCTGCCCAGTGCTCTGGAACTGTGGATGGGCTGGGTGATCTGGCTTGGACCATAAGTCCCAAAGATTCAAGGAGGTTTTCCCCAGGCAGCAACCATCCAAAACTCGTCTGGTTACGTGCATGTATTTGACTTGGGCCTGACTGTTAGTTGGGCATAAAAGTTCCCCTGTAATCTCCTACAAGTCAGAGGAAGCTTTCATTTCTGCCCTCAGTGGTGTGTGTAATAAGCAGAGGAGGAATGACTTGCTGTGATACTTACAGGCAGCCCATTCAGTGTGAAGATAAGTGGTGAAGGAAGAGTTAAGGAGAGCATCACACGAACAAGACGGGCTCCTTCTGTTGCAACAGTAGGAAGCATATGTGATCTGAACCTAAAAATCCCAGGTAAGCAACAACATCCTTATCCTTAAAACCACAATTTGCTCTTGTATAGCAGGGGGTACTTGAGAAAGGGAAAATACAAACTTTAGTTGTGTAAGGACATCCTCATATTAACATAGCTTAGGGAAGAAACACTGGTAATGTGTCTTTTCAAACAGTTAAAAATAAGCATAACCATAATCAACACATGAAAAAATAAATACTGGTGAGGCCTTAATTTAATTTATTCTGTGTACAGCAGCCTGGAGAATGGGCTGCACAGCTCACTTTAGCTCCAGGGTTTTGAGATCATGTTGGCTGTTAAATGTTTGTACTGCTGTCTGGAAACTGTGAATCATGTAGGCCAGGCTTAGCTGGCTGCACTTATCCAGCCACTTCATCTGCCTCTGTAGCACCTGGGAAGCTGCAGCTGGCCAGGTTTTCTGCTCAGAAGCACACAGATAGCTGTGTGCCTCTTCTGTTATTTGTACTGAGTAATCACTTGAGCTCAGGTCCTGCTTCCAAAACCCTTTGTCACTTTCTAATCTGCATTTTTTTATTCTCTTGCTAGAAATTGATTGTGCTGATATGACAGCTCAGGTAACCAGTCCCTCTGGGAGAAACTTTGATGCTGAAATTGTAGAGTGTGACAAAAACACCTACTGTGTCCGCTTTGTGCCACAAGAAATGGGGGTCCACACTGTGGATGTCAAATACAAAGGGCAGCCAGTGCCAGGCAGCCCCTTCCAGTTCACCGTGGGGCCGCTGGGCGAGGGAGGAGCCCATAAAGTGAGAGCTGGAGGCCCGGGGCTGGAGCGTGCAGAGACAGGTGTTCCAGGTGAGTCCTCTGCTCTCAGTGGGCTCCACATCTGCTGGGGGCAGGTCTGCAGTGCAGTGTTTTGGCTAACAGGAGCCTCTGAAACTGCTAAGCACTATCTCCTGGGATGATGGGATGAGCTACCATTCTTCAAATATGCTCAAGGGGGGAACTTTGCAGTCTGTTAGGAGGAAGCTGCAACCCAGCAGCAGCAGCAGACTTACCCTTGTGTGTGCTCTCATGTGTTCAACAGCTGAATTCAGCATATGGACGCGGGAAGCTGGAGCTGGAGGACTGTCTATTGCTGTAGAAGGCCCAAGTAAAGCAGAAATCACCTTTGATGACCATAAAGATGGATCTTGTGGTGCATCATATATAGTTCAAGAGCCAGGTGTGTACTGAGCCCAAATCACATGGAAACAGTACTGATTGTGACTTTCAAAGAAACTAAGAACACTCACTGCTCTCTTCTCTCTGCAGGCAACTATGAGGTGTCCATCAAGTTCAATGATGAGCACATTCCTGAAAGCCCCTACCTGGTTCCTGTCATCGCCCCCTCCGATGATGCTCGCAGGCTCACTGTCACTAGTCTTCAGGTGAGACATAAGGAAACATCTCTACAACTTACCACAGAGACTGATTTCGTCCTTGTTCTCCAAAACCAAAATGGCTGTCCTTTCTTCTAAGTAATAGCCCTGTCTTGGTTGGTGCTTGTCAAGCTCAGCTTGCAGCCAGAGAGATTTTTGGCAACAGGCCCCTGGGTAGCTCTGGCTAGCCAGAGTTTGAAGGCAGAAGGCTCAATTGAGCATGTTACAAGTGATAACACTTGGCAATTAGGAACAAGAGGCTCCAGAAATAGCATTGGAGGAGCTAAGACTTGTTTCCTGTGCCATTAGCTAGGGGAAGGACAAGGAGAACTGCAATTTAGAGGCGAACCACCAGTGATCATGCTGGTACCAAGTTCCTCTTTTGGAACGTGCGTGAAGAGCTGCTTTTCCATGGGTGAGGTAGCACAGGGCTGCATAGCTGGGACATCACTGCAGCCTGGCCAGGCAGACAGAGCTGGCCCCACCATGAGGTCAGGGTACAGATTAGCTCTGGCTGATGCCACAAAACCACAGAGTCACAGCTCAGATGATTCATGAAGGTAGTGAACCTCAGAATGAATCACAGCTTTGTAGCTGGTCTGGGCTCATCTGGTAACCTCACCATGTAATTTGTGTATGTGTGTGGTTACAGGCATTAAAATACAAGTAACATTAAAGGCCTGACTGAAATCTCCAAAGCCAGAAGCTTGGATGTGAGACTGAGAATCTGTGTCTAAATATACTGTACCTCAGTCCTCCTTGAGTGGTAATTAGGAGTTCAGTTAGAGCTTTTTTTGGTAATGTCCCAGCTGTGATCCCCAGGAGTTTGCCTGGGCTGCAGGAATTCTCCACCTAGGCTGTGTAAATGAACCACGACAGCCTGATCCGGTAGTATCTTTTCTAACTAGGAGTTACAAGGGCGTTAATTAGTCACTGTGGTATTGATGTTTGCCTTGTGTTTCATTTAAAGACTCTTTGACAGGAATACTCACTTCAATTAAGTCCTGGAGAGGCAGATAAAGCTGAGTATTCTGTAACTGAGTCCATTGTGCAGCATCAACCTCCACTAAACCCACATCAGGGACTTGTTTATACATTGTACCTCAGTTCTACTCAGTTGCATTTATTTCCCTCTTCAGGATTTAGTTGAAAACAAGATGAGGTAAAGTATGTTGAGTGAGATATTACTGCTGCAGAGCTGCATGCGCTGTGCTGGTCGAGGACCACTGTGGCTCACATGTGGAGCTGTCTCGCCTTCCACCAATGGCCTGACAGCACAACAACATCTGGTTTCATGTTTCAAATTACTTTCTTATGTTTGAGACATCTTGTGGTGGCGTTCTAAATGCAGCCTCTTGTGGCAAATCTAAACATGTGTATTACTCTTTCAGACATTTGGATTATCAGAGGCTTTTCCCTGAATGAATCTGGAATGAATGAATGGGCTGAAAAATAGAGCTATAGCTTAAGCATTCTTTAAATCAAGTGCCTGAGTACCAAGGACTGACCTCGGTGATAATGGGTGACTAGTATTGTAAACCTGCCTGTCTTTGATGTGGCACAGTTGTCTGGCTTCCAAAAACAGTCTGTTACCATGGGAAAGTCAGCTTAGCCCACGTGGGTGACTCCTGAATCAGCCACCCCCTAAGAGCGAGAGAGCGTCTGATTTGAGAGTTAATGCAACTCACAACTTTATGCCTTTTGTTAAACCTTCATGCTGAAGTGGTTATTTCCCTGCCACAAATCTTGTGCTGTCTGAAATGAAAGTTTGATAATCTGACTGTTGCGTTCTCAGGAGTCTGGATTAAAAGTTAATCAGCCAGCATCCTTTGCTATAAGGCTGAACGGGGCAAAGGGCAAGATCGATGCTAAAGTCCACAGCCCCTCCGGAGCTGTCGAAGAGTGCCATGTATCTGAGCTGGAGCCAGGTGAGCACTGCTTGGTGATGATCAGAACAATTGCATGACCTCCAAAGCACACATGCTGCTGTCACATAGGGAATTCAGTTCCTTTGGCTTACAAATAGTATGTCCCAAGGATGAGCATGCTGCTTGGAAAATGACTTCGGTGTCAAGAGCTGTTCAGTCAGGGTTATATCCATGTTTTTCCATGAACTGACTGAGCCCCAGCTTGTTTAAGATAGAGGCATTTAAGTCTTGGATTGCCAGTGAAGGTGCAGTGACATTAGTAATAAATTAAAAATTGTGGTTGTTGAATTTAACCAGGGAAGAAGTTTATTTCTCAAAGCCATGCTTCGATCCTTGACTAATAGTTTATGTTTAACTCACACTCACTCCTTCACATGAAATGTCAAGGAAGCTGTCTATAAGCAAACACCACAGAAAGCTCAACACCTGTTTCAGCAATGAGCTTCTCTTTTTTACTTGAAGTCTGTATGAGTTATGGTCTGTACTATGAACAAGCAGCAGCTGTCCAGCTGGGGGAGATCAATCCCACCTCTGAGTTAACATGCAATCAAAAATGTGAAATATCAGCAAATTGCTGAATTACTTCATTAGATAAAGGTGGAGTGTCAGAGCAGCACACTCAGCTCGCTGGTAAGATTTGGCTTGCTCTGACCAGCTGCTTTTCTTCTCCCTCAGCTGCCGACAGATTGGGCTGTGATTCAGTTTTCATGTTTAGTGCATAAGTGAGGCAAATAATCCTCAAACTAGATGACAGTTGAGATCAGGTCCTAGAGAGCAAGGTGAAAACACAAGCTGTAAAACCTTCTGTGAGAAATACAGCATTTTCCTGCTTAAATACAAGTTCAGCAGCTCATGTAACTGAGTTCACTTAAACTGGGACCAAAATATGTCAAAGGCTTTCAGAAGCTGGGATTGCTGATCAGCCCTGCATGGGGCTCAGTTGGTGGTTTTGGTTGGAAGGTTTGTGAGCAGAGCCCCTCTGTGCGTGTTGCAGATAAGTACGCGGTGCGGTTCATCCCCCACGAGAACGGCGTGCACTCCATCGATGTGAAGTTCAACGGCAGCC